CTCTCTGGTTTCTCTCTGGTCCCTCTCAGATCTCTCTCTGGTCTCACTCTGATCTCTCTCTGGTCTCACTCTGATCTCTCTCTGGTCTCTCTCCCTGGTCTCTCTCTGGTCTCTCTCTGGTCTCTCTCTGGTCTCTCTCTGATCTCTCTCTGGTCTCTCTCTGGTCTCTCTCTGATCTCTCTCTGGTCTCTCTCTGGTCTCTCTCTGGTCTCTCTCTGGTCTCTCTCTGGTCCCTCTCAGATCTCTCTCTGGTCTCTCTCTGGTCTCACTCTGATCTCACTCTGATCTCTCTCTGGTCTCTCTCCCTAATCTCTTTCTGGTCTCTCTCTGGTCTCTGTCTGGTCTCTCTCTGGTCTCTCTCTGGTCTCTCTCTGGTCTCTGTCTGGTCTCTCTCTGGTCTCTCTCTGGTCTCTCTCTGGTCTCTCTCTGGTCTCTCTCTGGTCTCTGTCTGGTCTCTCTCTGGTCTCTCTCTGGTCTCTCTCTGGTCTCTCTCTGGTCTCTCTCTGGTCTCTCTCTGGTCTCTGTCTGGTCTCTCTGGTCTCTCTCTGGTCTCTCTCTGGTCTCTCTCTCTGGTCTCTCTCTGGTCTCTCTCTGGTCTCTCCCTGGTCTCTCTCTGGTCTCTGTCTGGTCTCTCTGGTCTCTCACCGGTGCTGTGGTTGTCCATGCGTCCCAGTGGAGGGTAGTTGCAGCGTTTGGCCAGCTGGGGGCAGTACCAGACCATGAGCTCGGTACCAGGTGGCAGTGTGGTGATGGTGTAGAAGAAGATGTGGAGGCCGCTCTGACACGCCACGAGGTTCTGCTGGTCCCGGGAGCTCGCCGGGGTCACGTACCTCATCCAGTTACTGCTCTCCTCCTGCAGCAAATCCAGGGTGTGGTGAAGGCGACCAGCAGAGAAGACCTGAGAGACAGACCAGGAGAGAGACCAGGGGAGAGACCAGGGGAGAGACCAGAGAGAGAGACCAGAGAGAGAGACCAGAGAGAGAGACCAGAGAGAGACCAGGGGAGAGACCAGAGAGAGAGACCAGAGAGAGACCAGGGGAGAGACCAGAGAGAGAGACCAGAGAGAGAGACCAGAGAGAGACCAGGGGAGAGACCAGGGGAGAGACCAGAGAGAGAGACCAGAGAGAGACCAGGGGAGAGACCAGAGAGAGAGACCAGGGGAGAGACCAGAGAGAGACCAGAGAGAGAGACCAGGGGAGAGACCAGAGAGAGACCAGAAGAGAGACCAGAAGAGAGACCAGGAGAGAGACCAGGAGAGAGACCAGAGAGAACAGAGAGCGACCAGAGAGAGACCAGAGAGAGACCAGAGGGAGAGACCAGAGAGAGAGACCAGAGAGAGACCAGAGAGAGAGACCAGAGAGAGACCAGAGAAAGAGACCAGAGAGAGAGACCAGAGAGAGACGAGAGAGAGAGACCAGGGGAGAGACCAGAGAGAGACCAGAAGAGAGACCAGGAGAGAGAACAGAGAGACCAGAGAGAGACCAGAGAGAGACCAGAGAGAGACCAGAGAGAGACCAGAGAGAGACCAGAGAGAGAGACCAGAGAGAGACCAGAGGGAGAGACCAGAGAGAGACCAGGAGAGAGACCAGAGAGAGACCAGAGGGAGAGACCAGAGGGAGAGACCAGAGAGAGACCAGGAGAGAGACCAGAGATAGAGACCAGAGAGAGACCAGAGAGAGACCAGAGATAGAGACCAGAGAGAGACCAGAGAGAGACCAGAGAGAGACCAGAGAGAGACACACAATTAGATCAACTTGCTGCCTTCCTCTGAGCCGTTAACATTGTTTTAAAGAGTTTAAAGCCAAAGTCATTTCAGTGTATGTAAACCCCCGGGGCACCTGGAGGAAACCTACGCAGACACGGGGAGAACATGCAAACTCCACTCAGAAAGGCGCTGCTCCGACCGAGACTCGAATCCAGTTGATTATATTATTTATTTGGATAAAAAACAGTAATTCTTGATTCTAAATAACAGTTTTTCAGGCCGTGTTAATAATCTCATGATAGTTGTTCTTTAAAGTAACAATAATAATAATAATAATATTAATCATAATAATAATAATAATAACAATAATAATAATAGTATTAATAATAATAGCAATAATAATAATAATAATAGTAATAATAATAATAATAACAATAATAATAATAATAATAGTAATAATAATAATATTAACAATAATAGTGATAATAGTAATAATAATAACAATAATTATAATTATAGTAATAATAGTAATAATAATATCAATAATAATAGTAATAATAATAATAATAGTAACAATAATAATAATAGTAATAATAATAATAGTAATAATAATAACAATAATAATAATAATAATAGTAATAATAATAGTAATAGTAATAATAACAATAATAGTAATAATAATAATAATAATAATAATAGTAATAATAATAGTAATAGTAATAATAATAATAATAGTAATAATAATAGTAATAGTAATAATAATAATAATAACAATAATAACTAGAAACTTGCAATGGCTGAAGCCATTGCGATTGACTGCGGAACAGATCTAATGTGGAAATCTGCTAAAAAAAATCCTTGAAATCCTTTAAAAGGCCTTGAAACTGTTAAAATACTTGATAGATATTTGAAACTCCTGAAGTCCTTGAAATTGTTGAAACCTTTAAACTCCTGAAATCCTTGAAACTGTTGAAACATTGAAACTCCTGAAATCCTTGAAACTTTTTTTAAACCTGGAAACTGTTGAAAGTGTGGAAACTCCTGAAATCCTTGAACCTCCTGATATCCTTGAAACTGGTTAAATTCTTAAACAGTTGAAATCCTTGAAACTACTGAATGTATTGAAAGTGTCCTTGAAACTGAAAAATCACCGCTGAAACAATTTGGTTCCTGTAACTAAGGAAACCTGGTCTGTGGTCATTATCTGGTGGTGGTCTGAGTCTTCGTTTGGGTCTGGTGGTATAATGCAACCTATTAGGTTGCATTAACTGGTTTACATTGAAAAATCCCTATTAGGTTGCATTATACTGGTTTACATGGAAAAATCCCTATTAGGTTGCATTATACTGGTTTACATGGAAAAATCCCTATTAAGTTGCATTATACTGGTTTACATGGAAAAATCTCTATTAACATTATACGTTTACATGAAAAATCCCTATTAGGTTGCATTATACTGGTTTACATGGGTACAAATCCCTATTAAGTTGCTTTATACTGGTTTACATGTAAAAACCCCTATTAGGTTACATTATAGTGGTTTACATGTAAAAATCCTTATTAAGTTGCATTATACTGGTTTACATGTAAAAACCCCTATTAAGTTCCATTATACTGGTTTACATGTAAAAACCCCTATTAAGTTCCATTATACTGGTTTACATGTAAAAACCCTATTAAGTTGCATTATACTGGTTTACATGGAAAAATCCCTATTAAGTTGCATAATACTGGTTTACATGGAAAAATCCCCATTAAGTTGCATTATACTGGTTTACATGAAAAAAATCCCTATTAAGTTGCATTATACTGGTTTACAAGGAAAAATCCCTATTAAGTTTGCCATTATACTGGTTTACATGGAAAAATCCCTATTAAGTTGCATAATACTGGTTTACATGGAAAAATCCCCATTAAGTTGCATTATACTGGTTTACATGTAAAAAACCCTATTAAGTTGCATTATACTGGTTTACATGGAAAAATCCCTATTAAGTTGCATTGTACTGGTTTACATGGAAAAAACCCTATTAAGTTGCATTATACTGGTTTTACATGAAAAAACCCTATTAAGTTGCATTATACTGGTTTACATGTAAAAACCCCTATTAAGTTGCATTATACTGGTTTACATGGAAAAATCCCCATTAAGTTGCATTATACTGGTTTTACATGAAAAAAAACCCTATTAAGTTGCATTATACTGGTTTACATGAAAAAACCCTATTAAGTTGCATTATACTGGTTTACATGGAAAAATCCCTATTAAGTTGCATTATAGTGGTTTACATGGAAAAATCCCTATTAGGTTGCATGATTACACTGAAGTCCTTGAAAACTGCTGAAGTCCTTGAAACTGCTTGAAGTCCTTGAAACTGCTGAAGTCCTTGAAACTGTTGAAGTCCTTGAAACTCTTGAAATCTTGAAACTGCTGAAATCCTTGAAACTGTTGAATCCTTGAAACTGTTGAATCATTGAAACTGTAGAAATGTCTGAAAGAGCTGAAGTCCTATTAAAATGCATGGGCCTATTAAAATGCATTGCAGAATTCTCAATGCAGATTTTTGTCCGATTGCGGAAAAACCGGAAATCGCTGAAGTCCCAAAAGTAATAGCAATAATCTCCCAAACATGTGGAACGTTTTGATGTATAACTTGTGGAAATTGTTGAAAATGTGAAAGCTGTGAAACGTGTCAAAAAAATGACGGAATAAAAGAATACAAAACCAATGGTTGACTGCGGAAGGTTCCGCAGTCAATCAAACTAGAAACTTGCAATGGCTTTGAAGCCATTGCGATTGACTGCGGAACAGATCTAATGTGGAAATCTGCTAAAAAAAATCCTTGAAAATCCTTTAAAAGGCCTTGAAACTGTTAAAATACTTGATAGATATTTGAAACTCCTGAAGTCCTTGAAATTGTTGAAACCTTTAAACTCCTGAAATCCTTGAAACTGTTGAAACATTGAAACTCCTGAAATCCTTGAAACTTTTTTAAACCTGGAAACTGTTGAAAGTGTGGAAACTCCTGAAATCCTTGAACCTCCTTGATATCCTTGAAACTGGTTAAATTCTTAAACAGTTGAAATCCTTGAAACTACTGAATGTATTGAAAGTGTCCTTGAAACTGAAAAATCCCCTCACCGCTGAAACAATTTGGTTCCTGTAACTAAGGAAACCCTGGTCTGTGGTCATTATCTGGTGGTGGTCTGAGTCTTCGTTTGGGTCCCTTGGTCTGGTGGTATAATGCAACCTATTAGGTTGCATTATACTGGTTTTCATGGAAAAATCCCTATTAGGTTGCATTATACTGGTTTACATGGAAAAATCCCTATTAGGTTGCATTATACTGGTTTTAACATGGAAAAATCCCTCTATTAAGTTGCATTATACTGGTTTACATGGAAAAAATCCCTATTAAGTTGCATTATACTGGTTTACATGGAAAAATCCCTATTAGGTTTGCATTATACTGGTTTACATGTAAAATCCCTAAATTGCTTTATACTGGTTTACAATGTAAAAACCCCTATTAGGTTTACATTATAGTGGTTTACATGGAAAAATCCCTTATTAAGTTGCATTATACTGGATTACATGTAAAAACCCCTATTAAGTTCCATTATACTGGTTTACATGTAAAAACCCCTATATAAGTGTTTCCCATTATACTGGTTTACATGTAAAAACCCTATTAAGTTTGCATTATACTGGTTTACATGGAAAAATCCCTATTAAGTTGCATAATCCTGGTTTACATGGAAAAATCCCCATTAAGTTGCAATTATACTGGTTTACATGAAAAAAACCCTATTAAGTTGCATTATACTGGTTTACAAGGAAAAATCCCTATTAAGTTGCATTATACTGGTTTACATGGAAAAATCCCTATTAAGTTGCATATATACTGGTTTACATGGAACAAAAAATCCCCATTAAGTTGCATTATACTGGTTTACATGTAAAAAACCCTATTAAGTTGCATTATACTGGTTTACATGGAAAAATCCCTATTAAGTTGCATTGTACTGGTTTACATGGAAAAAACCCTATTAAGTTGGCATTATACTGGTTTACATGGAAAAAACCCTATTAAGTTGCATTATACTGGTTTACATGGAAAAAACCCATTAAGTTGCATTATACTGGTTTACATGTAAAAAACCCTATTAAGTTGCATTATACTGGTTTACATGGAAAAATCCCTATTAAGTTGCATTGTACTGGTTTACATGGAAAAAACCCTATTAAGTTGCATTATACTGGTTTACATGGAAAAAACCCTATTAAGTTGCATTATACTGGTTTACATGGAAAAAACCCTATTAAGTTGCATTATACTGGTTTACATGTAAAAACCCCTATTAAGTTGCATTATACTGGTTTACATGGAAAAATCCCCATTAAGTTGCATTATACTGGTTTACATGAAAAAAAACCCTATTAAGTTGCATTATACTGGTTTACATGAAAAAACCCTATTAAGTTGCATTATACTGGTTTACATGGAAAAAACCCTATTAAGTTGCATTATACTGGTTTACATGTAAAAACCCCTATTAAGTTGCATTATACTGGTTTACATGGAAAAATCCCCATTAAGTTGCATTATACTGGTTTACATGAAAAAAAACCCTATTAAGTTGCATTATACTGGTTTACATGGAAAAATCCCTATTAGGTTGCATGATTACACTGAAGTCCTTGAAACTGCTGAAGTCCTTGAAACTGCTGAAGTCCTTGAAACTGCTGAAGTCCTTGAAACTGTTGAAGTCCTTGAAACTCTTGAAATCTTGAAACTGCTGAAATCCTTGAAACTGTTGAATCCTTGAAACTGTTGAATCATTGAAACTGTAGAAATGTCTGAAAGAGCTGAAGTCCTATTAAAATGCATGGGCCTATTAAAATGCATTGCAGAATTCTCAATGCAGATTTTTGTCCGATTGCGGAAAAACCGGAAATCGCTGAAGTCCCAAAAGTAATAGCAATAATCTCCCAAACATGTGGAACGTTTTGATGTATAACTTGTGGAAATTGTTGAAAATGTGAAAGCTGTGAAACGTGTCAAAAAAAATGACGGAATAAAGAAATACAAAACCAATGGTTGACTGCGGAAGGTTCCGCAGTCAATCAATAATGCATCAGTTTTATATAGCGCTTTTTTGGACACTTTACACATCATTATTCTCTCTCCAAACACGTGGTGATAAACTACTGTAGCCACAGCTGCCCTGGGGCAGACTGACAGAAGCCCCTCCCACCACCACACACCAGATGATTAATGATATGAAGAGGCTTTGAGCGTCCAGAAAAGCGTTGTATAAATCCGATGCATTATTATTATTACCTGTCACGTCAACACCTTTGAGAACTAACTTTTTTATAACCATCATTTCAAAACGATAATGCCCATTACAGCTTCGACTAGTAAGGGCTGTCTAATATTTGTTAGAATATATATAATATACAGTACATTTAATATATGAATTATAAACGATCACAAGCGTGATGATTGACAGCTCTTGGCATGACTCGATTGGTTAACGTGGACGGCATCGTGATTCTCACGAAGCGAAGGCGGGACTTACCGTAATATTAGAATTCATAAAATGACTTATTTTATATCAACATTTAAGGCCAGGAGGTCAATTTAACACAATTCTTAATATTTGTAATTCATTTAGAGTTACAGACTATCACTTTAATGAAACAATAGATAAAAGCCTCTCCCTCTCTGACTCATGGTCTGTGCTGGGCAGTGCTGGGCTGTGCTGGTCGGTGCTGGGCTGTGCTGGGCTGTGCTGGTCTGTGCTGGTCTGTGCTGGGCTGTGCTGGGCTGTGCTGGTCTGTGCTGGTCGGTGCTGGGCTGTGCTGGTCTGTGCGGGGTTGTGCTGGTCTGTGCTGGGCTGTGCTGGTCTGTGCTGGTCTGTGCTGGTCGGTGCTGGGCTGTGCTGGTCGGTGCTGGGCTGTGCTGGTCTGTGCTGGTCTGTGCTGGTCTTTACTGGTCTGTGCTGGTCTGTGCTGGTCTGTGCTGGTCTGTGCTGGTCTGTGCTGGTCGGTGCTGGGCTGTGCTGGGCTGTGCTGGTCTGTGCTGGGCTGTGCTGGTCTGTGCTGGTCTGTGCTGGTCGGTGCTGGGCTGTGCTGGTCGGTGCTGGGCTGTGCTGGTCTGTGCTGGTCGGTGCTGGGCTGTGCTGGGCTGTGCTGGTCTGTGCTGGTCTGTGCTGGGCTGTGCTGGTCTGTGCTGGTCTGTGCTGGTCTGTGCTGGGCTGTGCTGGTCTGTGCGGGGTTGTGCTGGTCTGTGCTGGGCTGTGCTGGTCTGTGCTGGTCTGTGCTGGTCGGTGCTGGGCTGTGCTGGTCGGTGCTGGGCTGTGCTGGTCTGTGCTGGTCTGTGCTGGTCTGTGCTGGTCTGTGCTGGTCTGTGCTGGTCTGTGCTGGTCTGTGCTGGTCTTTACTGGTCTGTACTGGTCTGTGCTGGTCTTTACTGGTCTTTACTGGTCTGTGCTGGTCTGTGCTGGTCTGTGCTGGTCTTTACTGGTCTGTACTGGTCTGTGCTGGTCTGTGCTGGTCTGTGCTGGTCTTTACTGGTCTGTGCTGGTCTGTGCTGGTCTGTGCTGGGCTGTGCTGGTCTGTGCTGGGTTGTGCTGGTCTGTGCTGGGCTGTGCTGGTCTGTGCTGGTCTGTGCTGGTCGGTGCTGGGCTGTGCTGGTCTGTGCTGGTCTGTGCTGGTCGGTGCTGGGCAGTGCTGGGCTGTGCTGGGCTGTGCTGGTCTGTGCTGGTCTGTGCTGGGCAGTGCTGGGCTGTGCTGGGCTGTGCTGGGCAGTGCTGGTCGGTGCTGGGCTGTGCTGGTCTGTGCTGGTCTGTGCTGGGCAGTGCTGGGCTGTGCTGGGCTGTGCTGGGCAGTGCTGGTCGGTGCTGGGCTGTGCTGGTCTGTGCTGGTCGGTGCTGGGCAGTGCTGGGCAGTGCTGGGCTGTGCTGGGCTGTACTGGTCTGTGCTGGGCTGTGCTGGTCTGTGCTGGTCTGTGCTGGTTGGTGCTGGTCTATGTTAGCGTGTGTTAGCGTGTTTGGCTAGCTCATGCTAGCACGCGACAGCTGCTCCTCTCGGTGGTGGATCTCAAAGCCACTTCCTGTGAGTCAGTGTGAGAGCAGAGCGAGCTCAGAGCTGTTTACTGGTATTGTCACTCAGAGACCAGAGTGAGACCAGAGAGAGAGAGACCAGCTGAGACACCTGTGGTTTCATCTGTGTGAGAAGATGATGAACGAAGGAACGAAGGTGTGTGTGTTTTGTGTCATCACTGGTTCCTGGTTTATCACAGGGTGATGTGTTCTAATAATAACACACAATAAGTGAAATCTCTGGTCTCTCTCTGGTCTGTCTCTCTCTGGTCTCTCTCTGGTCTCTCTCTGGTCTGTCTCTCTCTGGTCTCTCTCTGGTCTCTCTCTGGTCTCTCTCTGGTCTCTCTCTGGTCTCTCTCTGGTCTCTCTCTGGTCTCTCTCTGGCCTGTCTCTGGTCTCTCTCTGGTCTCTCTCTGGTCTCTCTCTGGTCTCTCTCTCTGGTCTCGCTCTGGTCTCTCTCTGGTCTCTCTCTGGCCTGTCTCTGGTCTCTCTCTGGTCTCTCTCTGGTCTGTCTCTGGTCTCTCTCTGGTCTCTCTCTGGTCTCTCTCTGGTCTCTCTCTGGTCTCTCTCTCTGGTCTCGCTCTGGTCTGTCTCTGGTCTCTCTCTGGTCTCTCTCTGGTCTCTCTCTGGTCTCTCTCTGGTCTCGCTCTGGTCTCGCTCTGGTTTCTCTCTGGTGTCTCTCTGGTCTCTCTCTGGTCTCTATCTCTGGTCTGTCTCTGGTCTCTCTCTGGTCTCTCTCTGGTCTCTCTCTGGTCTCTCTCTGGTCTCGCTCTGGTCTCGCTCTGGTTTCTCTCTGGTCTCTCTCTGGTCTCGCTCTGGTTTCTCTCTGGTGTCTCTCTGGTCTCTCTCTCTGGTCTCTCTCTGGTCTCTCTCTGGTCTCTCTCTGGTCTCTCTCTGGTCTCTCTCTGGTCTCTCTCTGGTCTCGCTCTGGTCTCGCTCTGGTCTCTCTCTGGTCTCTCTCTGGTCTCTCTCTGGTCTCTCTCTGGTCTCTCTCTGGCCTCTCTCTCTGGCCTGTCTCTGGTCTCTCTCTGGTCTCGCTCTGGTTTCTCTCTGGTGTCTCTCTGGTCTCTTTCTGGTCTCGCTCTGGTTTCTCTCTGGTCTCTCTCTGGTCTCGCTCTGGTTTCTCTCTGGTGTCTCTCTGGTCTCTCTCTGGTCTGTCTCTGTCAATGTTACCATATGACCTCTGACCTCTGACCCCCGACTCACCCTCCAGTAGAACTTCCTGTTAGCATGTGGCGGCGCGGTGTCGTCTGTGCAGCGTTCTCCGACCAGAGGACCGAAACGAGTCCCTGCAGGGATCAGCTCTGTGCTGGTCACACCCACCACCTGCAGAGACCAGGAGGAGTCAGACCAGGAGGAGTCAGAACAGGAGGAGTCAGGCCAGAAGGAGCCAGGAGGAGTCAGACCGGAAGGCGTCAGGCCAGGAGGAGTCAGACCAGGAGGAGTCAGACCAGGAGGAGTCAGACCGGAAGGCGTCAGGCCAGGAGGAGTCAGACCAGGAGGAGTCAGACCAGGAGGAGTCAGATCAGGAGGAGTCAGGCCAGAAGGAGCCAGGAGGAGTCAGACCGGAAGGCGTCAGGCCAGGAGGAGTCAGACCAGGAGGAGTCAGACCAGGAGGAGTCAGACCAGGAGGAGTCAGACCAGGAGGAGTCAGACCGGAAGGCGTCAGGCCAGGAGGAGTCAGACCAGGAGGAGTCAGACCAGGAGGAGTCAGGCCAGAAGGAGCCAGGAGGAGTCAGACCAGGAGGAGTCAGACCAGGAGGAGTCAGACCAGGAGGAGTCAGACCAGGAGGAGTCAGACCAGGAGGAGTCAGACCAGGAGGAGTCAGACCGGAAGGCGTCAGGCCAGGAGGAGTCAGACCAGGAGGAGTCAGACCAGGAGGAGTCAGACCAGGAGGAGTCAGACCAGGAGGAGTCAGACCAGGAGGAGTCAGACCAGGAGGAGTCAGACCAGAGGGAGTCAGGCCAGGAAACCCCAGACCTGGAGGAGTTAGACCAGGAGGAGTCAAAGCAAGCCCGGGTTCCTAAGGTCCCGTTTCCACGGAGACAGAAACAGGTCGAAGTTTATATCGAGTCCTTTTTTTTTATGGAGTGGAAACAAAAGTGGCTCTTGGTCCAAAAGTGGCTCTTGGTCCAAAAGTGGCTCTTGGTCCAAAAGTGGTTCTTGGTTCTAAAGTGGCTCTTGGTCCAAAAGTGGCTCTTGGTTCTAAAAATGGCTCTTGGTTCTGAAGTGATGTCACATTAGTTTCACCGGCGGAGACAGTGTGACTGCGTCTTTAATATTTACTTTCAGGTTCGGACGCAGTGGAACGTAAACAACGATGGCGGCGGGTCGACTTCGCTCAAGCCCCGGCGATCCAAGATGGCGGCGTTTTCTAATGAATGGTTTGTGCTCAGTGGTGCATGTGCCGGCACGGGCGCCAAAAGACTAGCCGATCTCGCCCATATTGTCTGGTCGTCTGGTCCTGGTTTTGTGCAGTGGACGAGCTCCCATGATGCTTTGCACCAAAGACGCGTGTGTGGCTCTCGTGCACGTGCACAGAGGTCAGCGTTCTGACCAATCAGAGGGCTGCATTCTGACCAATCAGAGGGCTGCATTCTGACCAATCAGAAGGCTGCGGACTGACCAATCAGAGGGCTGCGTTCTGACCAATCAGAGGGCTGCGTTCTGACCAATCAGAGCTGCTGATCAGGGCGGGAGTTAGAGCAGGAGCCAGACGAGTAGAGTTTGTGGCAGTAAAGTGTGGATTTAAAGAAAACCGAAGGATTTAAAGGGGCCATATCATGAAAAATCCACTTTTTGTGCCTTAAATGCCTGATGTTGTGAAGTTGGAGCCTCTAGAAGTGCAAAAAAGTGGAAATCAGTCTCTTCATGGGTTGCAGAGAACACTTCATATTCTGTTTAGGTAAGATTTTTCAACCCGTTCTGATTTTGCCATTCTCTATTACGTGTTTAGAATTATTACGTCACAGTATTTGCAGCGAGACTGCCATATAAGGGCATGGGCGTCTAACAAAACACTTCGGCCCAGCCCTCCTCTACTGTGCACCACTTCATTTGTAGTCCAAGCTCAAGGATGCCAGCGAACATGCACAGGGCTGGACTGGCCATCGGGCGTACCGGGCAATGCCCAAAGGGCCGATGCCCATATTTGGGCCGGTCTGTCTGCCTCATACAAAACACATGTTTATGAGAAGTGTAAATCCGTTGAGAATTGTTCGAGCGGGGCGCGCGTATCCGCGGGGCACCTGCTGTATGTACTCGAACGGGATTCCACCACCTCAGCGGCCGCCGTGTTCCGGGGCATCTGCGGCCGCTTTGTAATGAGCAGCTTCTGCGTCCAGCGGCTGCGAGAGGCTGTGAGCGTCCAGCGGCTGTGAGCGTCCAGCCGCTGCGAGAGGCTGTGAGCGTCCAGCGGCTGCGAGAGGCTGTGAGCGTCCAGCGGCTGTGAGCGTCCAGCGGCTGCGAGAGGCTATGAGCGTCCAGCCGCTGTGAGAGGCTGTGAGCGTCCAGCGTCTGCTAGAGGCTGTGAGCGTCCAGCGGCTGCGAGAGGCTGTGAGCGTCCAGCGGCTGCGAGAGGCTGTGAGCGTCCAGCGGCTGCGAGAGGCTGTGAGCGTCCAGCGGCTGCGAGAGGCTGTGAGCGTCCAGCCGGTCGCAGCCGCTCCACCGTGTTGTGGCTGAGCGCGCAGCCTCATCGTGGCCATGTACCCAACCCCATAAACGCGCACAGGACCATGCGTGTCTTTGAGTAATTTGTGAACCCAATAAATACACTGCTGCAGGAAACAGTTCGCGTCTCCCCTCTCCTCTCGAAGCGCGATTAAACGCCCTAAATAAAGCTCTGATACCTACATTAAAAGTTCATGTTTGAGTCCAAAAGTAATATGTTGTGAACAAATTAAACAGATTTAGAGCCAGCAAATGGCTGACATTATGCATTTCAGTCTTTTTTGACCAATTCTTATCCCTGTAACAAACAATAGTGTTGTCTGTGTCCACCTCCCTCACTCTGAGACATGTTTCTTTAATGTAGACTATTGCATTTTATTTTATTGTTGAAACTGCATATCCTGATCCTCTACAGTATTTTCTTCCACATACTGTATAAACTAGGAGTCGGCAACCTGCGGCTCCGGACATGCGCCTCTTTCCTTCTGTAGAAGGAAAAATGTTCTTAACGTTTTTAAATGCTGTAAAATTGTGCATAAGTAATATTCAATTTAAACATTTCTGTCAACGTAGTGCGTCTTATCCTGCGACGTAGGCCAGCGCCAGGCGGCCGCTGTTGTAAACAAACCGGCATGTGAGCTCTGCTTGTGTACAAGTCTCTCCATGGCCTCGCTAAAAAATATATTAGTGACATGTTGGTACCATACGAACCAGCCCGGACTCTGAGGAGCACAGGGACTGGACTCCTGCTGGGACTCTGAGGAGCACAGGGACTGGACTCCTGCTGGGACTCTGAGGAGCACAGGGACTGGACTCCTGCTGGGATTCTGAGGAGCACAGGGACTGGACTCCTGCTGGGACTCTGAGGAGCACAGGGACTGGACTCCTGCTGGGACTCTGAGGAGCACAGGGACTGGACTCCTGCTGGGACTCTGAGGAGCACAGGGACTGGACTCCTGCTGGGACTCTGAGGAGCACAGGGACTGGACTCCTGCTGGGACTCTGAGGAGCACAGGGACTGGACTCCTGCTGGGACTCTGAGGAGCACAGGGACTGGCCTCCTGCTGGGACTCTGAGGAGCACAGGGACTGGACTCCTGCTGGGACTCTGAGGAGCACAGGGACTGGACTCCTGTTAGTGCCCAGAGTCAGAACTAAACATGGGGAGGCTGCTTTTCAGATTCATGCTGCTAAAATCTGGAGCAGTCTTCCTGAAGATGTGAGACAGGCCTCCTCTCTGACAATGTTTAAAACCAGGTTAAAAACAGTTCTGTTTAGCTGTGCTACAACTGAGGGATTATATATTTTTATCTTTCTTTTTAATGTTCTGTGATTATTTATTATTTTAATGCTTTCTTATTTTGTTCAGCACTTTGAATTGCCTTGGTATGAATTGTGCTATATAAATAAACTTGCCTTTCCTTGCCTTGACTGTGCGCATGGATCCCAAAGCTAAAAAGAGAAGGGTCGATAATAAGACTGGACTAAGAATGAAAATTAACATTTGCTTTCAGTCAATGAGGAAGGCCTGCTTCATGTTTGCGATGTAATAAGAAGTTACTATGAGATAATTGTATCTGTGCTTAGAAACTACGAAAATGGCCGCTCGGGGTGGAGTTGAACCTGTGTCACCTGGATGGGGGCGTGGTCAAAAGCGCCTCATTTGCATTTAAAGAGACAGCACCAAAACAGGTTGCTCTCAGACGCACCTAGGAACAGGTGTAGAAGAAAGGCCCGTGTAGCTACAAATAATGAGACTCAGACACAGGCATTGCAGTTACGCTTTATATAGGCCACAAATTAAGGATTTAGATGTAAAAATCAAAATTTTGAAAACACGATATGTCCACTTTAAGAAGAAAAAAAGTTCAGGACGACAAGGGACACTAAAATCCCCACAAAATCAGACTTTTATGAAAGCGCTCTCTGGTCTCTCTCTGGTCTCTCTCTGGTCTCTCTGGTCTCTCTCTGGTCTCTCTCTGGTCTCTCTCTGGTCTCTCTCTGGTCTCTGGTCTCTCTGGTCTCTCTGGTCTCTCTCTGGTCTCTCTCTGGTCTCTCTCTGGTCTCTCTCTGGTCTCTCTCTGGTCTCTCTCTGGTCTCTCTCTCTGGTCTCTCTCTCTGGTCTCTCTCTGGTCTCTCTATGGTCCCTGGTCTCTCTCTGGTCTCTCTCTGGTCTCTCTCCGGTCCCTGGTCTCCCTCTGGTCTCTCTCTGGTCCCTGGTCTCTCTCTGGTCTCTGTCTGGTCCCTGGTCTCCCTCTGGTCTCTCTCTGGTCCCTGGTCTCTCTCTGGTCTCTCTCTGGTCTCTCTCCGGTCCCTGGTCTCCCTCTGGTCTCTCTCTGGTCCCTGGTCTCTCTCTGGTCTCTCTCTGGTCCCTGGTCTCCCTCTGGTCTCTCTCTGGTCCCTGGTCTCTCTCTGGTCTCTCTCTGGTCTCTCTCTGGTCCCTGGTCTCTCTGGTCTCTGGTCTCTGGTCTCTCTCTGGTCTCTCTCTGGTCCCTGGTCTCTCTCTGGTCTCTGGTCTCTCTCCGGTCCCTGGTCTCCCTCTGGTCTCTCTCCGGTCCCTGGTCTCCCTCTGGTCTCTCTCTGGTCCCTGGTCTCCCTCTGGTCTCTCTCTGGTCCCTGGTCTCTCTCTGGTCTCTCTCTGGTCCCTGGTCTCCCTCTGGTCTCTCTCTGGTCCCTGGTCTCTCTCTGGTCTCTCTCCGGTCCCTGGTCTCCCTCTGGTCTCTCTCTGGTCCCTGGTCTCCCTCTGGTCTCTCTCTGGTCCCTGGTCTCTCTCTGGTCTCTCTCTGGTCCCTGGTCTCCCTCTGGTCTCTCACAGACAGATCTATAGTACATTACCAGGTGTCTCTTTGGTCCCTGACCTCCTGAATATTTCATGGTCCAATCATCAGCTCAGTGTCTCTTCTGGTTTAGTGCGTTCACGTTTCATCTGTGGCCGGCTGGAGGTGTGAAAGCTGCCTGCAGGGCGGGCGCGGCTCCGGCGCTTTTATTCTCAGCTGTGGCTTTGTGCCGTCGCCACAGAGGCTCCGAGACCGACACTCGCTTTGTCTCGGTCCGAAGACCTCTGGAAAAATATCAAATCTATTTCACACCACAATGTGACATCACCACAGTGTGACATCACCACAGTGTGACATCACCACAGTGTGACATCACCACAGTGTGACATCACCACAATGTGACATCACCACAATGTGACATCACCACAGTGTGACATCACCACAGTGTGACATCACCACAATGTGACATCACCACAATGTGACATCACCACAGTGTGACATCACCACAGTGTGACATCACCACAGTGTGACATCACCACAGTGTGACATCACCACAGTGTGACATCACCACAGTGTGACATCACCACTGTGTGACATCACCACAATGTGACATCACCACAATGTGACATCACCACAGTGTGACATCACCACAGTGTGACATCACCACAGTGTGACATCACCACTGTGTGACATCACCACAATGTGACATCACCACTGTGTGACATCACCACAATGTGACATCTCTCTGGTCTCTCTCTGGTCTCTCTCTCTGGTCTCCCTCTGGTCTCTCTCTGGTCTCTCTCTAGTCTTCCTCTGGTCTCTCTCTGGTCTCTCTCTCTGGTCTCCCTCTGGTCTCTCTCTCTGGTCTCCCTCTGGTCTCTCTCTGGTCTCCCTCTGGTCTCTCTCTGGTCTCCCTCTGGTCTCCCTCTGGTCTCTCTCTGGTCTCTCTCTGGTCTCCCTCTGGTCTCCCTCTAGTCTCCCTCTAGTCTTCCTCTGGTCTCCCTCTAGTCTTCCTCTGGTCTCCCTCTGGTCTCCCTCTGGTCTCTCTCTGGTCTCCCTCTGGTCTCTCTCTGGTCTCCCTCTGGTCTCCCTCTAGTCTCCCTCTAGTCTCCCTCTGGTCTCCCTCTGGTCTCCCTCTGGTCTCCGTCTAGTCTCCCTCTGGTCTCCCTCTGGTCTCCCTCTGGTCTCTCTCTGGTCTCTCTCTGGTCTCCCTCTGGTCTCTCTCTGGTCTCTCTCAGGTCTCTCTCTGGTCTCTCTCTGGTCTCTCTCTGGTCTCTCTCTGGTCTCCCTCTGGTCTCTCTCTGGTCTCTCTCTGGTCTCCCTCTGGTCTCTCCCTTTGAAGTCACTCAGACCCAGTTCTTTCATGTAGTTTTTTCCGAGCTCCTTAACGAGGGATTAGCAACGTCGTTGTGACTAATTAGCGAATCGGATCCGGCCGTTAGCGCGTCCTGCATGTGACTCATTGCGCAGCCTGACACCGCTGCACAAAGACCTTTAATCGCTGTCATCTCGGGCTGTTTTCTGGGCTATTGTTGTGGATTTGGGACAGGAAAAAAGAAACTGAAAAGGAAAAACATCCAGCGGAGGAACGAGGATGAGCGAGAGGAAGGAAGCGACGAAGGACCAGATGTAAACAGCTGATCTGTAAACACCAGGAATAGAACCAGGACCGAGATAGACCAGGGTCTGTTTTTAAATCATTCCAAATGATCCTCCTCTGGGAAAGACATGTTCCAGCTTCTTCCTTCATGGACGAGGCAGCTCGAATAACTTCAACAGGCCAAACTCTGTAGTAAGAGAGGCTCTCTCTTTGGTCTCTCTCTGGTCTCTCTCTGGTCTCTCTCTCTGGTCTCTCTCTGGTCTCTCTCTGGTCCCTCTCTAGTCTGTCTCTGGTCTCTTTCTGGTCCCTCTCTCTGGTCTCTCTCTGGTCTGTCTCTGGTCCTTCTCTGGTCCGTCTCTGGTCCTTCTCTGGTCTCTCTCTGGTCTCTTTCTGGTCCCTCTCTCTTGTCTCTCTCTGGTCTCCCTCTAGTCTCTCTTTGGTCTCTCTCTGGTCTCTCTCTGGTCTCTTTCTGGTCCCTCTCTCTTGTCTCTCTCTGGTCTCCCTCTAGTCTCTCTTTGGTCTCTCTCTGGTCTCTCTCTGGTCTCTTTCTGCTCCCTCTCTCTGGTCTTTCTCTGGTCTCTCTCTGGTCTCCCTCTAGTCTCTCTCTCTGGTCTCCCTCTGGTCTCTCTCTGGTCTCTCTCTGGTCTCTCTTTGGTCTCTCTCTGCTCTTTCTCGTCTCACTCTGGTGACTTTCTGGTCTCTGGTCAGCCATACCTCCTTTCCTTTGCGTTTGAGTGCAAGGTTCCTTGGCAGGGACCTCTTGGCTCTACTCCTCCTGGTCCTTCTGCTCCTCCTGGTCTCCTCCTCCTCCTCCTCCTGCTCCTCCTGGTCCATGACGATGTAGGTGCATCTCTCCTGGAACTCCTCCTCAGACCAGCTGCTCATGTCCTGGTCCTCCTCCATCCCCTGCGGCGCCAACATGGTCCACTAACACAAACACAGGTGTTGATGGTACAGAAGTTCAGACCAGAGAGAGACCAGAGAGACCAGAGAGACCAGAGTGAGACCAGAGAGAGAGAGACCAGAAAGAGACCAGAGAGAGACCAATAGAGAGAGACCAAAGAGAGAGACCAGAGAGAGAACAGAGAGACCAGAGAGAGACCAGAGAGAGACTAGAGAGAGACCAGAGAGAGACCAGAGAGAGAGAGAACAGAGAGACCAGAGAGAGACCAGAGAGAGACCCGAGAGAGAGACCAGAGAGAGACCAGAGAGAGACCAATAGAGAGAGACCAAAGAGAGAGACCAGAGAGAGAACAGAGAGACCAGAGAGAGACCAGAGAGAGACCAGAGAGAGACTAGAGAGAGACCAGAGAGAGACCAGAGAGAGAGAGAACAGAGAGACCAGAGAGAGACCAGAGAGAGAGACCAGAGAGAGACCAGAGAGAGACCCGAGAGAGACTAGAGAGAGACTAGAGAGAGACCAGAGAGCGACCAGAGAGAGACCAGAGAGAGACCAGAGAGAGACCAGAGAGAGACAGGAGAGAGACCAGAGAGAGACCAGAGAGAGACCAGAGAGAGAGAGAACAGAGAGACCAGAGAGAGACCAGAGAGAGACCCGAGATAGAGACCAGAGAGAGACCAGAGAGAGACCAATAGAGAGAGACCAAAGAGAGACCAGAGAGAGAACAGAGAGACCAGAGAGAGACCAGAGAGAGACCCGAGAGAGAGACCAGAGAGAGACCAGAGAGAGACCAGAGAGAGACCAATAGAGAGAGACCAAAGAGAGAGACCAGAGAGAGACCAGAGAGGGACCAGAGAGAGAGACCAAAGAGAGAGACCAGAGAGAGACCAGAGAGAGACCAGAGAGAGACCAGAGAGAGACCAGAGAGAGACCAGAGAGAGACCAGAGAGAGAGAGAACAGAGAGACCAGAGAGAGACCAGAGAGAGAGACCAGAGAGAGACCCGAGAGAGACTAGAGAGAGACTAGAGAGAGACCAGAGAGCGACCAGAGAGAGACCAGAGAGAGAGAGACCAGAGAGAGACCAGAGAGAGACCAGAGAGAGAGACCAGAGAGAGACCCGAGAGAGACTAGAGAGAGACTAGAGAGAGACCAGAGAGAGACCAGAGAGAGACCAGAGAGAGACCCGAGAGAGACCAGAAAGAGACCAATAGAGAGAGACCAGAGAGAGAGACCAGAGAGAGACCAGAGAGAGAGACCAGAGAGACCAGAGACACCTAGAGTCTGTAATAAAGTTGAATTGAGTTGGTAGATATTGCGACACAGACAGTATGTGATTTATGTCCCTGATATTATTCAAAGACGTCATAGAGTCACAACAATCAGACATCATAGGCAAGGCAAGTTTATTTATATAGCACAATTCATACACAAGGCAACTCAAAGTGCTGAATAAGAAAGCATTAAAATCATAAATTATCACAGAACATTAAAAAGAAAGATAAAAATATATAATCCCTCAGTTGTAGCACAGCTAAACAGAACTGTTTTTAACCTGGTTTTAAACATTGTCAGAGAGGAGGCCTGTCTCACATCTTCAGGAAGACTGTTCCAGATTTTAGCAGCATGAATCTGAAAAGCAGCCTCCCCATGTTTAGTTCTGACTCTGGGCACTAACAGGAGTCCAGTCCCTGTGCTCCTCAGAGTCCCAGCAGGAGTCCAGTCCCTGTGCTCCTCAGAGTCCCAGCAGGAGTCCAGTCCCTGTGCTCCTCAGAGTCCCAGCAGGAGTCCAGTCCCTGTGCTCCTCAGAGTCCCAGCAGGAGTCCAGTCCCTGTGCTCCTCAGAGTCCCAGCAGGAGTCCAGTCCCTGTGCTCCTCAGAGTCCCAGCAGGAGTCCAGTCCCTGTGCTCCTCAGAGTCCCAGCAGGAGTCCAGTCCCTGTGCTCCTCAGAGTCCCAGCAGGAGGCCAGTCCCTGTGCTCCTCAGAGTCCCAGCAGGAGGCCAGTCCCTGTGCTCCTCAGAGTCCCAGCAGGAGGCCAGTCCCTGTGCTCCTCAGAGTCCCAGCAGGAGGCCAGTCCCTGTGCTCCTCAGAGTCCCAGCAGGAGTCCAGTCCCTGTGCTCCTCAGAGTCCCAGCAGGAGGCCAGTCCCTGTGCTCCTCAGAGTCCCAGCAGGAGTCCAGTACCTGTGCTCCTCAGAGTCCCAGCAGGAGGCCAGTCCCTGTGCTCCTCAGAGTCCCAGCAGGAGTCCAGTCCCTGTGCTCCTCAGAGTCCCAGCAGGAGTCCAGTCCCTGTGCTCCTCAGAGTCCCAGCAGGAGGCCAGTCCCTGTGCTCCTCAGAGTCCCAGCAGGAGTCCAGTACCTGTGCTCCTCAGAGTCCCAGCAGGAGGCCAGTCCCTGTGCTCCTCAGAGTCCCAGCAGGAGGCCAGTCCCTGTGCTCCTCAGAGTTCCAGCAGGAGTCCAGTCCCTGTGCTCCTCAGAGTCCCAGCAGGAGTCCAGTCCCTGTGCTCCTCAGAGTCCCAGCAGGAGTCCAGTCCCTGTGCTCCTCAGAGTCCCAGCAGGAGTCCAGTCCCTGTGCTCCTCAGAGTCCGGGCTGGTTCATATGGGACTAACATGTCACTAATATATTTTGGTGCGAGGCCATGGAGAGACTTGTAACAAGCAGAGCTGTTTTAAAGTCTATTCTCTGAGCCACAGGAAGCCAGTGCAGAGACCTGAGGACCGGACTAATGTGGTCGTACTTCCTGGTTCTAGTCAGGACTAATATGGTCGTACTTCCTGGTTCTAGTCAGGACTAATGTGGTCGTACTTCCTGGTTCTAGTCAGGACTAATGTGGTCGTACTTCCTGGTTCTAGTCAGGACTAATCTGGTCGTACTTCCTGGTTCTAGTCAGGACTAATGTGGTCGTACTTCCTGGTTCTAGTCAGGACTAATGTGGTCGTACTTCCTGGTTCTAGTCAGGACTAATGTGGTCGTACTTCCTGGTTCTAGTCAGGACTAATGTGGTCGTACTTCCTGGTTCTAGTCAGGACTAATGTGGTCGTACTTCCTGGTTCTAGTCAGGACTAATGTGGTCGTACTTCCTGGTTCTAGTCTGGACTAATGTGGTCGTACTTCCTGGTTCTAGTCAGGACTAATGTGGTCGTACTTCCTGGTTCTAGTCAGGACTAATGTGGTCGTACTTCCTGGTTCTAGTCAGGACTAATGTGGTCGTACTTCCTGGTTCTAGTCAGGACTAATGTGGTCGTACTTCCTGGTTCTAGTCAGGACTAATGTGGTCGTACTTCCTGGTTCTAGTCAGGACTAATGTGGTCGTACTTCCTGGTTCTAGTCAGGACTAATGTAGTCGTACTTCCTGGTTCTAGTCAGGACTAATCTGGTCGTACTTCCTGGTTCTAGTCAGGACTACTATGGTCGTACTTCCTGGTTCTAGTCAGGACTAATGTGGTCGTACTTCCTGGTTCTAGTCAGGACTAATGTGGTCGTACTTCCTGGTTCTAGTCAGGACTAATGTGGTCGTACTTCCTGGTTCTAGTCAGGACTAATGTGGTCGTACTTCCTGGTTCTAGTCAGGACTAATCTGGTCGTACTTCCTGGTTCTAGTCAGGACTAATCTGGTCGTACTTCCTGGTTCTAGTCAGGACTAATGTGGTCGTACTTCCTGGTTCTAGTCAGGACTAATGTGGTCGTACTTCCTGGTTCTAGTCAGGACTAATGTGGTCGTACTTCCTGGTTCTAGTCAGGACTAATGTGGTCGTACTTCCTGGTTCTAGTCAGGACTAATGTGGTCGTACTTCCTGGTTCTAGTCAGGACTAATCTGGTCGTACTTCCTGGTTCTAGTCAGGACTACTATGGTCGTACTTCCTGGTTCTAGTCAGGACTAATGTGGTCGTACTTCCTGGTTCTAGTCAGGACTAATGTGGTCGTACTTCCTGGTTCTAGTCAGGACTAATGTGG